ACATTTGATTCACAAAATTGAGGACTAGAGGGAGAAGATGAAGGAAGAAAGAAGGCTGGTGGACGTGGGGTGTGGGGAAAACGGCAGATGTGAGTAGAAAAAAATTTGACTCGTTAATGAACTATTAATTAAGGAGTTTAAATTTAAGATAATTATGCAATATCATATTTAAGGGATTTGTGTATCTGATTATGGTATAAATACTAAAAGTGGTATTATGTGTAATTGTTTTAAACTAAAGGTAAATATATATAGTATATATGATAGTGATGTATGTGTAGTTATATAGTTTTTCCTAATTTATTTATATCAATTTCATAAATAAACTTTTTGTCATTTCATTTAAATACCTAAACCCTACTAAAAAGAAGAGTAATTTTGAAAAATTATAATTAATACATTTTTTAATTATAAAATATCATTTTGAACCAAAAGAAAATGTTAATCGTTCATTTATATTGAACTAGAAAAAGTATAATTAAAGCTATTATTGAAGACTTAACAGTACGTTGCAGTAATTATTTTGAAATATTAGTTAATGAATTAAAAAGTCTCATATAATTAAAGAGCAAATGACCCTATATATATATATTCATAAAGAAAATTCAGATGAATCCCTTCAATCACTTGATTCCGCCCCTAGGATTCTTCTGGACTATTATAATAATAATGACATTTTCTAATGTTAGTTGGAAAAAGTAGTGTATATTCCATTTAAACATTCCCTAGATGTTATCTCCTTAATTTGTTTGTCCTTATAAGAAGACAATTAGCTCTCCAACTTTAATTTTGCTACGTAACATATTAATGTCACAACAAACTAATTAGTATTTTACTTGTACCTTTCTTCACTAGTATTGAAATGTCTCTTTCTTGCTTTTGCATTAATTTTTGTTTTGTATTGCTCTCTTAATTTTAATTTATTTATTTAATTTTAATTTGATTTAAAATTTAAGTAAAAAAAAAAAAGAATCTTGTAACTGTAAATTTAAGATATGTATACTATATTAAAATTATCATCTAATCTTATGATCTTAGAGTGACAGAGTCGGAAATTTAGCAAAAGTTGTGCAAAATATCTTCGCAGTTGTATTAAGAATGTGCAAAATTAAATATATACTTATAATAGCTAACATTTAATTTATATTCTCCACATAAATCCTTTCCCGCAAAAAATATGCGTCAAACCATCCTTCGCCTAAATATATTATGTAAAAAATTAGAACAAAAAAATTTTAAAAACCAAAAAAATATATACAACAAATCAACTAAAACGAAGAAAAGCACATGGTTGTCTCATCTAAACTTGAGTGTGAATGAGTAATCGTAACATCTACTTATTATTTTCTCTGTTCATTTTAATTTGTCATATATAAACTTGTCATATTCATTAAAAAATAATGAATAGTCAACTATTTTATCACATTAATCCTACTAATTGATGTTTTATATTAAATTTCTTAAAAAATAATTTGAGAATAACTAAATAATACAAAGAGTAAATTATTTAAAAAAATTGTCTTTTCTTGATCCGTAAAAAATGACAAATAAAAATTTATTTTAAGACTAGTGAACATATTGTAAAATATGAGCAAATAGTTATGGAAAAAAAGTTTCAATAATACTCTTTAACTTTGAAAAATTCATTTATTTTAAAATATGAAAAAAAATCTCACTTTATTGGGTCTTGAATTACGTTTTGACTTTAACTACAAACCATGAAGTACGTTTGAACCCTCGCAATCACTGATGAGCTAAGCTTCTGGACTATATAACGGTGTTCAATTTATGACATATATCTATGAAAAAATAATTTTAATTTTTATGTGTCAATTGACGCCCCTTCGTTGAAAAATAAAATTATGCAGTTAAGTAAAAAGAAAAAAAATTTATGTATGTATACTACAATTTGACTTAATCAAAATTTAACTCCTCTACGGACCATAACGCCAACATTTTCAGTATGGTGCATCATTATATATGTGAAATAACAGTTAGAATTTCAAAAAAATATTAGAACTCATAATTTTAAGAATACAATTATTCAATACCTATCAAATTTAAATTATGAATCTGGCTCTTGACATAACAACTATTAGAACTCGTGCCCAAAGAGCTTTGACACAGAAACTAGACATGATTAAAAAATAATAGTATCAACAAAAAAAGGCAGAAAATGTAATCAATGAATTCAACTGAACCCAACATATGTCATGTGCAAGATAATATATAAACGAAAGAGTCGATAAAATTTTAAAAGAAAAACTAAATTACAAAATCGTAACATTAATAGTACGATGGGTTGAGGGACAAGCACTTGAATCTACAAATTTAAATTCAAAATTTGCCTCTCTAGTCCGAAGAGTTTCAACGTCCATGGAAAATCTACTTCAAAGAGCAATTATGGAAAGGGCACGCAAGCTTTCTTCGTCCGCCTCATGGAACTGTACGTGTCTTGCACGTGTAAACCTCTCATAGACAAGCCGAACAGCTCTTCCCCACCGCGTAGTACTCCGAGGAGCTGCAGGGGGTTGAGAGTTGAAGGTAATTTGGCTCATCTGGAACAAAAAAAGGCTCATAGAATGAACCAAGTTATAGTGAATTTGGTGAAGAGGTTTAAAGGAACAAGCAGCTAGCCTTACTATAAAAGGCCATAATAAGCTTATAATTAAAGGAGTATTTAAACTCACAGAAGCTGCTATCAAATTCAGCTTCAAAACAATAAGTATATGCACGCCCATGGATTTGGTTTGTGTGTTTTTTTTATTATTGTGTTGCTAATGGGTGATATAAGCTAAGTGAGAAAAATTGAAGAAAGATTTGGAGATTAAATAATTATTAGTTTAGTAGTATTAATAAGAGAGAGAGAGAATATAGTCCAAATAAAATGTGTTTGAAATGCGTATATGTAAGTCAACATCGAATGGGTACATTTTGTGAATGAGATATCAACATCACAACAACTTTGTAGGGTGTAATACAAAAACCTACCTTTAACTTGATTTCAATTGATATATGTGTTGTTGAATTTTGATTATGTTCGAACAAAATACTTAAATTTGTACAAAGTTGAACAAGTAAACACACACGTTCTACTCGACAATCAGGGGCGACTCTAATAAACCGGTGCCTAAAGCCAAATCCGTATGGAGGCCTTAAATTCGAATATATATTTATTATGAAATTTATTATAGCCAATTATTTAATCTTTCTTGAGACATAGTATTCATAATTTGTCAAACTTTTGTTACTTCTTTTATGAAAAAATTTTATTTTCTACAAATATAACTATATTTTTTTTAAAAAAATAATACTTATTACCTATTTTATTTTTTTAAATGAGGCCCCTCAAATTTTGGGGCCTAAGGCAATTACTTTTTTTACAAAGCTGTAGAGCCGCCCCTGTCGGCAATTCATGTGAGACATACGTCAGGTAGGACCTATGTGTCTACTTGTTCAACGTAACTCTATACAAGTTTAAGTATCTATTTGTATATATCCAAAATTGGAAGGTATGAATGACAGTTAAGACCAAGTTAAAGAACATGTTTATTGTTATGCCACATTTTATCCTTCCTAGTTCCTCCTCGGAAAAACAGAGCTTTGTTAGCTCAACTGATAAAAAATAGGAAAAGTAGGGAAAACACCCTTAAACTTGGCGCGAATTATTAGCTTCATTCTCAGATTATTGACAGCCTTAAAAACACTCCATTACTTGACTAACATAACTACACCCCCGATTTTGCAACATGAGTAAAATACACCCTTAAATTTTTGTCAAGTTTAAGGGTATTTTCAACACCTCTCTCAACTTTTTATTAAGAGTTCCATGCTCCTACAAAGAGTTTGAGACAAATTGTTATGTCATGTGACAGATTGATGGTGTATCTGAATTTAGTTAGTCAAGTAGAAGGGTGTTATTAAGGTTGTTCAATAATTCAAAGATGAAATTAATAATTTACATCACATTCAGAGATTTTTTCAATACTTCCCTCTAAAATACTAGCTCATACACATCAAATATTGAAAACCCCCTTTTTAATGTTATAATCAATCTTATAAATAAAGAGAATTTTTTGAATATAAAATTAGTGATTAATTGAAATGTCATTAATGTTTCATTAAGGTTTAAAGGTAAGTTCGATTAGGTCAGTCAAAAACTCACACATACTATAGATAAAAGTACGTAGCAAAAATCAGGATGCTTAGATGAATATACGAGCATACTAGGAGAGACAAAATTAGAAATGAGAAAGTACATGATAAGATGAGAGTGACCTCCGTAGTGGACAATATGTGAAAAATAAAACTAAAATGATTCGGACATGAAGAGGAGGATAGATGCCGCAGTATCTAAATGTTGACGTATAAATTTGTTCATATATTAACCCTTTATATAGCATACTATAAGTCGATGTTTTAGAAACACATACTTTCCATAAGGGAAAAGGGAACTTAAACATTGATGAATTGATGTTACGCTCCAAAAGGTTATAAAAAGAGAAAAAAACTGAAGTGACGTGCATGGGATTATTGAACGACAAAAAAGTCACAATAACTCTTATTGGACAGTACTACTATAAGAATAGATGGTAATTTGAGTCCACAAATATGTCCCTCATTTAACTGTTTTGAGTCTTTTGAAGGTGAAATGAAATTATATCTCAACCCAAAAATTGGTTGAGCAATAATTTCATATCATGTGATCAAGACCAATCTTGGGGCCTAGTATTATTTTTTGTTCCTTCGTACTAATAGAAATTTAGTGGGAAATTAATGACAGCTTTACAGTGTAACAATGATTTATTCACCATCTCCTTTTTTCTTTCAAGTTTCCCACCAACTAATTCAAATTCACACCAAAAAAATCTTACTTTAGGGGTAAAGCGCTCCCTCTCTCTAGTGATGGAGACATGAAAGTTGTGTTTTATGACAAAATTGACACAATGATGTATGGTATCTCATTAAAAATGGATATGATAAGGCACACTGGGAGAGTATTCCAGTGATATCTAAATACTCTTAAACATATATTTGAGTTTAACACATTAAGCATGAAATTTTGAAGGATCCTTTCTTTTCCAAGAGTAATAAATTATCAGTATGAAGTAGCTGCTATTTCACGTTTACCTTCTGGTGGCAGCTCAGCAAGCAGCAATTCTTTCAACAAACTAAAAGTAGTGAGATGAAAATGACTTGTAAAATGGCAACATGTAGAAAACGCTTAGAATGTTGGATCAAACCAATCGAAACTACAAACCTAGATGCAAAACTTCTGTGCACAAGGTCACATTTGGGTAATATAATCTTACAGTAACTCGCTATCAAGGAGTTGCAGACTGCAGTATTACGGAGCAAGTAGTGCTGATAACCCTAACATCCTTGAAGCTGTGGCCTTGGAATTTGTGTTAGACCTTCATTGCTGATGTATCTATGCCACTTAGAGTGAGGAGTACGATGACTTGCAGCTTTGGACTTGTATGACATTGAGAAGATTATACTCCCAGCAAGTCCAATTGGGAAAGGCAACTGATGCACTCTTGGTTATAAGAAAGCATAATCTACAATGAGGTCACCAGTTGATGGATCGAAAGACGTTTCAATATCTGCTGAGTGACAATCAGTGGTGGCAGATCTATGGCTCCCCACAGCCACGGGCTCCTTCAGAAGTTTAACCCCTTGCTTCCAGTATCTTTGTTCTGAATCAGATAGAAGATCACTAAGTTAATGAAACTTCATTCAAGGATAAAGGGATAGAGCAAAATTTTGTGAAGAAAACAAGAAGCAAGCATTTGACACCCCAAACAAAATGTCTTAGTAATTATTGTCTAGATTGCGACTTCTCAAAGACACACCTGGTCCTGTAGACAAGACAATGGATTCTTCTGTATCCATCACCCAGTCAATCCAAAGAACAAATCCATGACATTTTCCATGTGTAATAAATTCTACCTGCAAAACCTTGGTTTTGTGAGCTAATGTTGCAAACTGCCTTTATTGTTAACAGAATCTTGCCAGTTTCCATGTAAGACCTGATACCTTAGCTTTTCCAGAACATGGGCTTATTGTTTTCAGGAAATTGAATTCCATGATAGTAACTATGTCGCTCATTTTCTGCAATTTTAAATCTCAATTGTATCAACAACAGATTTAAACTTTGTTGCATTAGATAGTCTAATTTGTAGCATTCTTCTTCCTCAAAGATGATGTAAACTACCTTGCTCTCCCCACATTGCCAGACTGAAAAAGGTAGAGTAGGATTTTCTTGTCCAGGAGGTAAACCTCCACATGCCCCTAACGTGGAATTGACAACTGAATGATCAAAGCCTTCAACATGTTGCAGGCACTGATGACTTTGCCAAAGGTCCTGCACAAACAGTTTAACATGTCCATCACATGAATTTAACTCTTCTCATGGTCAAAGCATCAAAGAGAATGCATCCATGAACTTACAGGAAGAGACATCGCACAAGCCTTTAACAATCCTTTGCAAGGCATAATCACTGCACCTTCAGATAGGATTGAATCCAATAAACTTCGGTCCTTCCTACAAATGATATCATAATCAGAATAGATACTTTATAAGTAAATTCCCATGAAAAGAATTTCACATTTCTCATAGGTATTATAATAACCTCCACCTCCACGAAAAGAATAAAGAGTCATACAGCAGCAGCAGAATTGAAGAACAGGAACATAATTATTTTTTTGATGACCGTTATGTCCAGGCTAGCTTACGCGCACCTCGACTAATTCCACGGGATATCTCCCACCTCCCACCAGCAGCAGGTACCAGGTAACTCTGTCCACCAAGGCTAGGACAGATGGGAAGAATCACCTAGTGTTTTTTTTGTCTCCACTGAGTTTTGAACCTGAGACCTCAGGGTTCTCAACCATTGCATGTAGTGGCAGTTTCTAATCTCAGTATGTCCAAAGGTGGAGATTGTTTTACGTCAAATGGTAACTGCTCTATAAATGCAGCTTGCAATGATATGAAATTTTTATTACGTTGATACAGTTAACCCCATCCCCTCCTCAAAACCCCGTAGCCAAGAGGGCCACAGTGGCATTTCTCACTTTACTCCCTTGGTGATTCAAATCCCAACCTTATGGTTGGAAGTAAAGGTTCTTTAACACTAACCGATCACTCCCTTGTCAGCTTAGAACAAGAAATACAGGTTTATATCCACTACAGCTTCTAAGAAATAAAATGATGCTCTTCTATTAGTAACTAACACATTGTTAGGCAGTGGCGCAGTGCTTTAGTGCAGATTGTAATTCCAAAGCGGCTCGCAGGACATGCTGTGCCTATGTGTTCTGATTAGATTCAGGTGGTATTTGGAACTCAGTGAGGCACTAGCTAAGAGTTTCATTACATTTTATTTTATTTTTTGAGGGTCGGCCAAGGAGCCAACCCTATAAAGTTACACAAATTATGTGCCATATGTCTTAATAGCCATACAGCACTCGCCACGCAGGCAGAGTGGCATATTTAGCCAACCGACCCTTTTTTACTCATTACATATTACAATCAATACTAGTAAAAAAATTCCATAGTATTGATGACATCAATCCTCTTAGCTGTGTTATGAAAGGCATAACTGCTGATCAGCAGTGATGAGATTATCAAAACAGTATAGCTGGGAAATCACTAACAAAAGCAAATGCAAGAAAAATATAACAAGCATTGATCTAAAGAGACCACATTCCAAGATTGTTTTCCAACAAATAATTTAAAGCATTCAATGTCCAGTACTGAATAATCTATCCATAAAAGCACAGCACAGAATCATTTCAGACAGCATCAACTCAGTATACTAAAATCAAAGGAACAAGTTACATCATATTTACCAGAACCGTAGATTTTGCCATGGAAGCACACTGTTGTTACCATAATAAAAAGGTTCCCCAACTAACAAGTCAATCTGCTGAGAAACAACAAATCATCAGCATTTGCAAGGAAGTGGTATAGTGTTAGGCAGCCAAAGTTCCATATTTGAGATGCCATGGAAAAATAGGGTAGAAGAGACAACAAGAAGCAATCATGGTCGAGGTTCAAGAGAAAAATTGTTACATTTGCTACCTTCTCCTGACTACTTTGAGAGGTCAACAGTTCACTCATCTTCTGAACTTCTACATGATCCTTTGAATAACCATTTGCAGCTGCAACAGCTTGCAAATATTGCGCACCTTTCTCTTGCAATCCTGGAAACAATGATAGCACATGAGACCCTTTGGCGAGATGGGAAAGAGCAACCGCAAGAAATATGCTATCATCCACAACAACACACAAGGAGGGAGTTTTCTGCTTCATCTGTAAGGAGCAGAGGAGCACAATTAACTCCAACTGACAATTTGAAGTCAAAATTTTTAGTAAAAATAGCAAAACAGGCAGTCAGTTCCATGTAAACAATAATAACATGCATGATTGTAATTATTAGCACATATGATCTGGCTTACTTTGTTCTTCAGTAAGAATAGTTAATATAGGGAACAACATGAAAACTGATAGGACGAAAAAAATATCGGCAGTAAACAAAAGAAGATGTAGAACAATAAACTTGAGAACTATGTTGATGAGAACTTCCTTTTAACAATGAATTTGGCACAATACTTGAGGAGTTACACTTTCTCCCCCCAAAATAACAATACTTAAGGAGTTACACGCTGCCATCACTAGTAGAAGTAATCACCTGTTGCTTAAGAAGCTACAGTTTACTTGTTTGTCTGGGTGAAGTGACGCTTCTTTGAATAAATGTGCTTCGAAAGCTACGTTGCTCGGATCCTCCGAAAATGCCATTCTTGGAGGATCTGACACGGCTACATGGCATTTTTGGAGTACCCGAACAACTTAATCAGAAAGTGAAGAGTAATGCAATTAAAGAGAAAAGTGCTCTCTTTGAACCCAACTTTAAAAGATTTAACCACCAAAGAAGGAACACAAGGGAAAATCAGCTTTTTGCAATCTTCTTCTTCTTTGGTCAGCCAGTACTCTCTTTCATTAATTCTATTTCTGTTCTCTCTTGATTTGCTAATTTCTTCTACTTTTCTTCACAATGACTTTTTTTTTCTTCTGATGTACAAAATCTCCTCTTAGCTATTCCTGCTTTTGAACTTCTTCTCTTCTATCTCTCTTTCACCCTCTCCTGTTGTCAACAATTTCCTTTTTTTCTTCTTGTCCTTTTGATGAAGGTATATTGTTAAAAGCCATCAAGTGGATGCATAGTTACAAAATGCAGAAGACAGTTTGTTAAGCCCTTTAGGATGTGTGAATCTAAAATCAGGGAGCTGACGAAGTCCAAAAATTTACAGGGGTTAACTTAGTCCAGCAAAAAAGATTTAAGTAAACATTTAGCTTTGAGAGGGTGATTGGTGTTGAAATTCCATACAAAAATCCTCGATCCTCTCAATCCACACAAAAGATCCTCTGTCGAATTCCTTTCATTGTTTCATTCTCTATTGTCCCAATCTTGATAAATAGGCTTATGGCATTGTAACAAAAATGACTTGCAATTGAAGATTATTAATACTGCTACTAAAGTAACTGATGGGAGACAATGGGCCAATGGGGTGATAGAGCGGTGGAGTTGGCAGGAGAGAATAGAAAAGAGGTTGATCTTCTGCTTGATTTTGTTAAACCTAATAACAGATACTTAAATGACTGTCTGTCAAATTGAAACTTAAAGGTGCTGAGTGAGATAATAAAGAGATTAAAATCAGGATCGACAACATTGTGAACAATAAGTGCAAAAACTAATGATGAAATATGCACAACAAATACGTCATAGAACACTTAACAAATTCTGTCACTTGATAAAAAAATATATAGTAAGGAACAAACACATTGAGAATGGAAGCAATAAAACATCAAATGATGCATCAAATATAATCAACTCAAAGGGGTAAAGTAAACCTGAGAAGCACCAAATACCATAAGCATGGAAAATCTGAAAGCATATGGCTTTGATTCATCAAAAGCAAACAATGATATGATAACCAACATCAATTGCAAACATCCAAACATGTTTTCGTTGTTATTTTCTGAGTTAAGGTTCACACTGCTCAATTCTAACGAACTATACTTAATGAGTGCACATGTGCAAACATTCTTTTGAAAAAAAAAACTGAACAATTGATGTGGATGTACAAACATTCTTTTGGTTGGTGGTTCCATGGAATAGATGTGAAAACTTACTGCATTTTTTATAGCTTTCAGCATTGAGCATCTCCAATTGACATCACTATATAATGCAATTTTTTCTGGCAGCAAAGTGATTTGGTACTTCTGAGCACTGAGCTCACTTTGTCCAAGTTCCAAGTTCTGGGACAAAGTCTTCATTTCATATGAGATGCTAGTATCAGTGTGAACAGCCAGCAAACTAACTTCTTCATCCTTCAATAAAGACAAACCTTTCTTTGGTATGAACCAAACACATTGTTTCCAGTGGTCACACCAATTCTGACTCCCTATAGTGCATACAGATAAAAGCACAAATAAGGAGTTATGTTTGACTCTGATACTAGAAAGCCTGTTACTCATTTTTCCATTTATAGGAATGTAAAGGATACCAATAACAAATATAATAATGTGAAAGAGTACTCCTTGCGGTAAATCCACAAGTGAAAAAGTATCCAGTTCTATCCAAAAATAAAATAAAATGAAACGGTATGTATTTTTTATGTCAAAATCAACACTAAGTACTAATTTTTATGATTACATACAGGAAATATCAAAAGAAATTAAACAAGATTATATGTAGTTCTATCCAAATTGCCTCTAGAAACTACAAAATCTTGCCCTCATGTTAAAAGAAAAGAAAAACACAGAGATACTCCACTCACAGCTGATAGATGAATTAAATCCTTCCATACTAGATGGGCAACTTATCCATTTTGGTGCAGTGGAGTAGAAGATAGTGCTTTTCTCATCAAGCTGGAGCAACCACCTAAAAAGTAACCAAGTTATATATTGTTTAATGTGAGAAAACAAAATCACTTCAGAACCAAAATAAATACCATGAGATTATAGCATGAACAGTGCCAGTATTAGTAGCTTGTACACTCAGTTCCATTACACGATGACCATCCGGCCTTCTCCAAAAGTCAAAATCAAATACTTTGAAGGGTTCTGATAGCTGTATAAATTGAAGTGAGTGGTATTCCAGAAGTTGTCAATATAGAAACATCTTTTGTTCTGAAGTACTTTACCAGCTTGATGTCTTCTTCCAATGCATCACAATGCATGGAAAATTGTTGCCGTTTGACACATAAAGCTGAATCCATTCCTTCTGGAACAAGACGAATTTCATCTAGTACTTCTTTCTCAGTGTTATACAAATCATGCAGCTTCCACAAATCTGTGCTTTCTACCAGCTGGAAGGCAAGTTGGGAAACAAATAACTAATTTATAACCACAGGAACCCAGTGGGCTGGAACATACCCTAACGATTTTAGTACATCGCAACCAAGTAATATGATGGCAGGCAAGTTATTACTCACTAGCTAAGTTCAATAAATATAAAAGGAATATCTGATTAGTTTGTAGATCTGAGATGAGTTCTATTAACTGTATATAAGATGAGTTTATCTGAATTTACTAAGAAGCACTTGCAATGGCACCTGAATTTCAGCTGATGCAAAAATAGTAAACCCAGCCCGACAATCAGGACACACAAGTTATCTAAATGACTTTACCGATCAACCAAGAAAGGAAAACCGAGCTATCTAAATGATAGCACGCTAACAAGGTCAGTGAACTTTTCAAGACCCACCCAAAACTGAACCAATGGGTTTTCGGAGAGGACAAGTAACCAGTCAGTTTATGGAAAATTGCAGGTTTAGCTGAAAAGTAACTGCCTGCAACCAAAGGACCCTGACCCTACACCATCAGGTAGAAGTAGAACAGATATAAACCAATTGGTACGGGAAATTTTCCTAATAGTGAAAAATAAAGCAGAATTTCTTTAATAGTGATCGTATTGCATAAGACGAGCTTTTCTTTTTCTTTCTATTCATCTATATGTATCCATAAAAGCCCATTCTTCTAATTTTGACGTAACAAGAATTAGACTAAAAGTTTTGATTATAACACAAAATGTTCTACATCTGTCATTAGAAATTAGTACCTGGTACAGGTAGGATTGTTGGCAAATTATATGATGTTCCATTTTCTTTTTACAGCATATCACAATGGTACTACCTTTTTTTAATCAGGACAATGGTACAATGTTATTATAGATGACGATATTTTTTTAATTCATTTAATCTTTGGTTACTTTGAGGTTTCCTCTTGCCTTAGGCAGGTGATTTATGAAATTGGTCCCTATTGTCAACATATAGACTACTCATAGTAAGTCATTGTGCTTCTCTGACTCCCTAGTTGACCATGAGTCCTATTAGTCGGGTCAATGTCATTACCACGTGATGCAGAGTAGTCTGAAGATTAAATTAAATCAAAGCAAACTACAAGAAACAAATTAAACTTACAATCTGCAAAAGAATACTTAAATATGATAGCCATGGTCAAACACCTGACCATAAACCGTTGCACGGTAAGGCACTGTTTTCGGATTGTCTACCAGTAGCTGGTCATGAGCATGCTGCAGAGTTGGAATTAACCCTTCTCCCAAAAGCTCAGAGTCGAGTATTTCGCTTACCTGAATTGAGTGGTAAATGATTAACAAGCATTCATGCAACAATACCATGTCATTGGTTAACAATCAACCATTCAATCTTTTTAACATTATAAAACATGGCAGATGTGCAGCGTGAATCTCCACTTGAGATAAGGTGTTCAGAAAAGGAACCAAACCACCAACCCAAATTAAAACAACTCATTACAAACTGAAACCCAAACAAAAATAAAGTATGGTAGTATTTGGATTGAAAAATCGCAAAAACGCAAAACGGCTTTACCCCCAAAAAAAATAATCTACATGATATGTAAAATAAAGTACTTTATTGTCTCACCCAATTTAATGATGAAGAGTCTATAGATAGACTTGAATTTATTTATTTGAGAAATTAAGAAGTAAGCCCTTAAGTCTGAGTAAATGTTACTCTTGGAAGTTTGAAATTTATGTAGAAGTTGATCCTGTGTTATTATTTCATGCAATAAAATATTATCAAGTAAGAAGTAGTGAAGAGAAAGTATCCATTTAAAGAAATAGACACCATTTACACTACGATAAAATTTATTTTCCTAACAACGGTTGTAGCTTAATATATGAGAATAGAGGTTCATTTTTAAGAGTGATGATATGAATTTTGTTTATATCATAACTACACCCTCACCCTTTAGAAATAGGAGCGCAAAAAAAAGAATATTCAAAAGTTGTGCATGAGGAATCTCATCCAAAGTTAGAGACCAAGACACAAGTAAAAGTAATTTTCCTCTACAAACTTTTTAGCACTATTATACTATTCCATTACCACTTATATTGTACTCCCTCCATTCTGCTTCATATCATACTTTTTCTACTTGGAGACATTGCACGATGTTGACACCATAACACATATAAAGCTACTCTATACAACTTTCAAAAATTCAATTCATTTAATTATTGAAACTTTTTATACCTTTGATGTGATTTTTGCTCTTCCAAACTAGCCTTTTGACCCACTACTTCAATACCTTTTTTACCACCATTTATATAATATACATGTCAAATTAATGTCTTATACTTCGCGTCCAGTCAGCCAATGTCATTTAAAATGAAATGAAGGGAGTACATAACATTTTAAACTTTGCGCCAATGGAGTCAAACAAAATGGCCATATAGACTGGTAATTTTCATATACAGCAACCGGCCCGGTATCCACAAAACTTGAAGTAGAATGTCATCATGTTAAATAATGTTTACATAAACGAGGCAAAACGAAGATTGAAATTGTTAGCATATTTAAACAGTAAATAAGGTGAATGCATCTTTCATTTTATCCAGTAAATTCTGTAAGTAAAACTTCACAGATTAGCCCACAATGTACTCTTTTTTACCCGACTAGATGTCGTGGAAAAACTTCCTGACTACTTTATCAATCATAGGCACATGTTCAGCATAAGTATGTCAATAGTCTGGATTTAGTAATAGTTAGGAAAAAAAAACTAGTGTACTCACAAGCACATCTGCCCGTGAAGGCATGTCCACACCAACTTCTAGTTCATCTGACCTCTTGTTAATGATGCGGATTTTTCTTTGCATACCATTGGCATGCAAAACCTTCCGCATCAATTTTACCATAGGAAGATATGACTCACATGCGGTAACCATCCCCTTTGAACCCGAGCTCTCCACCGAATCTCCATTATCCATTGCTCGGGCTGCCATCATAGATAGTAAACCAGTTCCCGCTCTGCAATTTGTATCAAAAGCAAGAATGTAAAGTATAAGTATGTTGACTCCCAATTAACAAACCATACATCCACCAAAGACAAATCTTAAGACCTACCTAATTGTAGCAAAAATTTGTCAACAGTAAAGTCATAGTTTATACAGACCAAGCTTTTGTCGCCTTTTTTCCTTCTTACATTTGGTTGCTCTTACTTAACATATTACTATTAACATATATTTTCTTTCATCTTATTATCATCTTGAACCAATCTTTCGGTGTTTCCCCTTTAAATTTTGTTGCTTACTTCTCATTCCGGAAAAAGCTGAAACGATAAAGAGCTTAAAATAGACCCTCGGTTTAGTTCTTCATTTTCTGCTGATTCCATTCTTATACATAAAGGGCCTGACTTTTGAGCTAAGTTAAATTAAAACTATATCCGGTGTCGAGGAAATATTCTTCATGAAAAATGTTTTATCTCGAGAATCATTTACTGGATAAGTTATACAAAATGGAACATAAAGGTATATCATAGATACTTCAAGTGATTCTTCAATAGTTATATGTACTACAAATATAATATCCGATAGGAGCAATTACAGTTGGGATAGAGATAACATTTTCAACATTTCAAAGTAATTTAACTTCCGAAAATGATTTCGTTAATGAAAATATAACTAGTGAATACCCAATATCGAGAACATGGCAAGGCTTGGTTATGGTCTTGTCAATGGCTTCCCTATAAGCTTTATTTCTTCGAGTATCATTAAGCATGTCAAGGTAAGAAGTATTGGCAAGAAGCTGTTTTGTAGCATCTCCTGAAGCTTCATCTTCTTCAATGACGACCCATTCGGAGTTTCCGGTAAGTGGGTCGACTTTGAGCTGGAACATTCGTGACCCGGAACTCATGCTTCGGACAGTGAAGGCCTTTGAGCGAGTAGTGTTGAAGGAACGGACAAGGAATTGGGGGTTTAGGGTTTTAGGGAAAAGGCACTGCATAGATGTGAAGACAATGAAGAATGTTTCGGACGGTGGTGGATACGAAAAAGGGTCCTCCAACTAGTTTGTGGATTTGAACAAAAAATGCGTAGTTTGGTCTAAAAATATTTCTATTGCTACTTGAAGTCAAAATGTCTTTTTTCCAAATAAATATATTGTTTCATTTTTTTAAAATATATTCTTGTTTAAATAATAATTTTTATTACTAGTAAATGTTTATCCTACTTCACTTCGAAAAAGATTAAGAAATACAAATATTTTCTGTTTTATAAGACTTTTTTATCGTTATTGAAATAAAATTAATAATGAGATTACTATGATCGTATATGTCTAACATATATTATTACTTGAGAAGGTACATATAGTTATGCTATTTTAATTAATAAAATGAGATTAAAAAGGAAAAAAAATAATATGATTTTTTTAAACTCTCTAGAAATACAGTAATTTTTTAAAAGTAGTAATATTTTTACTAGAAATAAAATGTATTTAAAAGAAAATAAATAATAGATTTATAAGAAAAATGACATTTTTGACCTACTAAGTAATAATAAGGGCATTTTAAAATCAAATTATTAACGGTAGAACCAACTTTGGATTATTTTTTAATGAAAATGAAAATGAAAATTTGGTTATATTTGATGCAAAGAAAACTAATTTATTGTATATTTATGAAATTTACCCTTTTAATACTCCATGTTTTTTAATTATTTTTTTTAGGAAAAATTGTATGAAATAGCAAACTATTAATTCAAATTAAATGTTATAGCCATAGTTTATTTTAATTGTAATTCGCAGCAAATATCCCCGTTTTTTGTCATCTGATTCGATATACAATTAGTCATTTTCAGTATACAATTAGTCATTTTATACATTTCAGTATAAAATGTATAAAATGCGTTCTTTTTGTTTGTATAAAGCGAGAGAAAAGTGTATATACAAATACATATATTTTCGTCCTATACATTTATAATTATACAAATACAGATCTTACTATACAAATTACAATGTATAAATGAATTTATACAAAATTGAACAATTTGTATAAAATTAGATGTTTGTAGTGAATTATATAAATCAAAAGCTCTATAGCAAACATAAAATTTGTTATGGAGCGCAATTATGCAAACTATAGTTATAACTTACAAATATGATTTTTATGTTTGCTATATGTGAAAGTTGCTATTTTTTTTACCCTAGTCCTAGCCCAACCAACTTTGCTCAAGCCTCATGGGCAAGTTTGGTTACTCGGGCCAACTTAAAATTTTTATTTTTTAAATGGACTTCAAAAATCATAGTACAAATAATGAATTGGGCTGACCGGTTCAGCATGCATAGTTCATATTGATGGTTCTAACTATGATTTAGATATCTTAATATGAATACTAAAATGCTATATTAGAATCTGAATACTAAATAATTAAAACCATCTTTAAAACATTTGAATATGTAAGATTTGTGTTTATTTAAATCATAATAAATGGAGTACTAAATTAATCTACTACTACACCAAAAGAGTATTTTTTAAAAATTATATAGTGATTGTTGATGGTGATGACTAATGATGATAATTATGAGTAGTAATTAGTATTTATGGTGGCGGACAATATTGATTGATGGTGATAGTTGGTGTTGACAACTAATAGTTATGGTGGATGATGTCATTATTGATAGCGATGACGAATGATGTCGGTGGTTAGCAATATATAATAGTATCTAGTGGTGATGATTATCGGTAGTGATTGGTTGCCGCATGGTAATGATGGTTGATTGTGCTCATTGTAAATTGTGACTAGTACTAATGGTGATGTCTTATTATAATGATTGATAGTGATAGTGATAGTGGTTGTGGGAGGTGGGCGACAGTAGCGGCAGTTGATAATTGTGGGTTGATAGCAATAGCAATAGCGTTAACCGAATGAAATTATATTAATAACCTGTTATCTTTGTAGAAATTTTTGAATAAGACTTCGTTACATATCATAATACAGGATAATTCAAATCTATTTAGATTAATTAGGTGGTTAAAACATATTTAAAAATAAACACATTTAATAATTAAGATCATAATAATTAAAAATTAATAATTGATATGCAAATAATAAAATTAAGATATAATAAAACTAATAAGTGCCAAAATGAGGAGGTCAAACAGATGGATTTAGAAAATAAAATTAGGATTGGAAGAAGATTTTGCATATTCTCTGTCTCTCAAAACATAAGGAAAAAGTCACCAAAAGAGATTACAAAGTTAGACAAATGGGAACATAGTCAAATCCAATCACAAACGTTTGTATGAGTGGAATAATATCTACCCTGCTATCATCATAGTTGATTAATTAATTGAGTAACAAATATGGTACTTACTCTGTTTCACAAGATTGGGCTAGTCAAGTGGTTATCATTTAGTTAATTTTTTTTATTTTTGTGTGTCTCCTATTTTGTTGATTTCATTTTATAAAAATAAAAATAAAAAATTGCTTCTAGTCTTGATCAATCCAGAAAGCTATAACAGTCATTTTTTGACATCATTTTTAAAATTATTTAAATTTAGTTAGTTTTAATGTGAAAGTAAATGTTGGAACACTTCTAGCTAAAACACGGAAAAATTCCAACACAATATGCTGAATATTTCTTAAATAAATATTTGAATTTTGAACGTGTAGGTCAAAATTTAAACTCCAAAAACTAATAATAAAATCATAATAGCTGTTGACACCCAATTTTGACCCTTCCCGATGTAAATTAATCATTGAGCTTCTCCAATTTTCAAATGATTTAAAATTTTAGTTTTATAAAAATTTCAAGAAAATAAAATAAATATAGTTTGCAAGTTATCTTAAATAGTTTCGTCATTTTATATATATGTATACATATAATTTTTAAATAATATATATGCTTTATATATTATATATATAATTAATGTATTTCATGAATATTCAAAAATCATCTCAAAAATATTTTATATTTTCTTTGTGATGGTTGTAATTTTGAATTAACGAGTTTCAGGAAATTCAAAATACTTCCAAGTTTATTTTTTATTTTATTTTATTTTTTAAAAAAGAAGAGAGTAATTTTGTCATTTTAAATAATAAATATGTATATTTTTACAATCACATTATTTTATAAATATTTGAAAAATCATCACAAAAGATTTTACAATTTAGTTAAATATTTTATTTTATTAATTTACTTTAAGTTATAGTTATAATTTTGAGTTATTAGTTTATGATTAAGTTAATTATTTTACTTTTGTTAAGATTAAGAAGCTCGTTAGTTAATTATATTAATTTATTTTATTCAATTTCTAGCCGGATTCACTAAATTAACTCAAGTCGACTATATTTTGAGTTTTATATGACTATAATTACATTTTAGCAATTTGCAAATTGGTGGCCACTCCCATTTCACTTTTAACGTTTTTATCCAATTTTGAATCCAAATTTTCAAGGGCCCACTTCATAACTCTCAAGCCCAATTATTTTATCCAATTCCAACCAAAAGAAATCCATTCCAGCAGCAACATACAACAGCAATACAAACCAGTACGTACATGACCCAGCAGCCCACTTCAATTCCCAGTCCACTGCTCCTTTCCTGACCCGACCCAGCCCAATTTCGAACAACAAAGGGAAATCAGCAACATCTCTTCCAAACGTTGCAAAGAAAGGCGTCAAATACAGAGCAATACGGCACCAAACGGCATCTTCATCGACCAGTACTGTTCTTGTACAGTGCTTTCGGCTATAGCAGATTGTTGTTCCGTCCTCGCCACTACGAGATTACTCCACGTCGACACTCAAGGATGAGAGGTCAATCGAGTCCGTCCATCTCCCTTTCCTCTTTCGAAATGGGGTGAATTTTTCAAAGAAAGGGTTGCCTCCCCAGAATTGTGTAAGATTTTCGATTTTGAATTTGGAATGGGCCTTGAACCCAAATTTTCGTCCCTTCCCCCCCAAATCTGCCCTAGTTCTTCTTCTATATATATATTCTGTTGTGTTTGCTACTAGGGGGGATTTTTGGGAGGCTAGCTTCACAGAGAAATCTAGAGAAAAGTGGAAAATAGAGTTAGGGAAGAAAAATTGGAAAGAATTGACGAAAATTTAACTACATAGAGAGAACAACGTATAAGATTTTGAAAGGAGACAGAGAATATATACAAATACACTCAAAGAAATAGAGAGGAGAACTAATTTTCGAGTTCCTTTTTACTCTCTCCTCCCGTTCGTCATCCTTCCGGGTTTATTGAAGTAGGGGGTTGGTGGTGGAATCGTCTTCAGTGGCTAGAGTCCCCGTCGCTGCCCGAAAAGAGGTAAAACTCTCTATGCTTAACTCTGCCTCTTGTTAACCTCTAATCATTCTCTATTTTCCGCTTGTGTGTTTGAATAGATAGAAATGTTTGTTTGTTGTTTGTTCGCTGGAATTTGGATGGGGATTTCAGTGCTTTGTTCCCTTTTTAGGTTGCTGTAAATTTCCGTATGATTTCTTAAAATGTGGAAATCGTTCAGTCAAGTTGGTTCCTTTCTTGTATTTATCTGATTAGGTTCATAAAGTCAGCTAAAAGTCTGGTTTGATCTGTTGTGACTAATTCAGTTAGTACGTTAAAAGTTTTACTTTGTTTCTTTCTACGCTAGTTGGTGTCTTTCTAGTTCTCATTTAGTTTCTTTAGGGTGATTTGGGTCTCTATTCGAATTTCCTGCGATATTAAGCGTGTTTCATCTATTAAGATGTCTAAATGTGCTTATGTTTCAAACCGTTTATTCTTTGTTCGAGTATTGATGATCCTATTTTTCCGAGGTTACTGTTTGTGTGTCAATGAACATGAGTATCTATTATGACTAATTACTATTCTAAAGACATGGTTGTTTTGACTTAGTTTCCGAGCTTGACCTTTATATTTTATGCCCAAGTTAATTTCGTTTTCAAGCTTCAATGGTAAGATCCCCTGTTAATTCGTTGATTTCTTTGGATTTTCGAGAAGTCTCAAGTTAGCGTGTTATTTCAACCTCACCTTG